TTACAAAAATAGGAAAATTATCAATGAATATTTGCATAATAATACTGCATATTCAACCTGCATTCCCCATTAAAGTACTAAATGTTCATTGTATGGGGATACAATGAACTCACAGTCATTGATAATAGACAGGTCTGATCATCAACAGGCACTATATTGAACAAATAAGTAAGTACAGGACTACAGGTATGTAATTTCATTGCTATGGCTGTCTGACCACAAAAAGTAATCCACTGCGACTAATTATACCATATAAGGTTTTAAGGTATTCATTTATAGTGGGTAGTGTACCTTTGACAGCAAAATGGCATCAAGCAAGCAAGCAAGAATGTTTCCTATTATTTTAGGTGAGTTTATCTTTATTTCTTTTAGTATGTGTTTACTTTATCATTAGATATTAGCAACTTAAACGAGATTATAGAAATTTTGGAGCAGTACAATTTTCCTGAAGCAAAATGGTTTAAGTTTGGGTTAAAGCTTGGTCTCCTTTATCCTACACTGGAAGCTATTGATGCTAATCATAGAGGAAATACTTCACGTTGTCTCATGGAGTGTTTATCCAAGTGGCTGAGTAAAGCTGATGAAAATGTGTATCCTCCTACTTGGCAGACATTGGCTAGTGCTCTTAGAAAGTTAGAAGCAAAAGCAGTGGCTGAAAATATTGAGAAAACAAGTAAAGTCAATTCTAATTCAATATAATGTATTGTAATACTCCTTTCCCAGTGGTTAGCCAGCTACTACAGCATTACAGTAGTAGAATATCTGGAGCAACACTCTCTGAAGAATCAGTTGATCTGTTACATACAGAAGGGCTGATATCTGAAGAGACATTGAGGGAAGTGAAGAGTTGTGGATACACACTAACAGATGATGCAATGAGAGAAATATACACAGCAATAGCTTATGATCATAACAAATTGAAATCATTTGCTAGCATATTATTAAGATCAACAGGCACTGTTAGTATAGCCAATGACTTAATAAGAGAATGTGGTAAGAAAGAATAATGTTTGATGATAGAAGCTTATGCTTCTTTTCAGAGGGCATCTTTGAAGCAGAAAATTCTACTGGTGACAATTGTGATGCACACAATGCATCAAGTATCATTACACCAATTTCAGGTAATTTC